TGTTTCCCCTGTCGCCACTAGTCCCCGGACTGTTCCCCCTGTCACCACGAAACCCCGGACTGTTTCGCCCAAGCCCCGTCCTTGTGTGTCTTCCTCCAAGTTCCCCCGGATTCCCCGTCCTCAGCCCTCGTCCCGAAGACCCAAGACCCCTGTCCCGCCCATCCACCCTGGACTGTCTCCCAAAGACTTTGTGTTTCCTCCACCTCCTCTACCCTGTATGTTATTTTTGATGTTTCACCCTAACCCTGTTATTGTTTTTTCATGTTTGCCTTTATTAGTGTTTTCCATGTTTTGTTGGTTCGTGTCTTTGTCACAGTCTGTCATGTCCCGTGTTTAGTTTCCCTTTGAGGAGCGTCTGGAAGCCGCTCCTTAAGGTGGGGGTTCTGTCATGATTCTGCCATCATGTCTCTGTTTTCTCTGGTTTTGTGGCAGGATCATGGCAGACCCATGTTTTATGTACAAGCGCATGGTCTGTTATTTGGACCATGTGCTTGTGTTGTCTCGTAACCCCGCCCCCTTGTTATCCTCGTCTTGTGATTAGTGTCTAGTCAGTTTCACCTGTCCTCGTCATTAGTGTTCCCTATTTAATCCCTGTGTATTTGCTGTCCTGTGCGATTCATTATCATACGTTGTGTGATTCTAGCTGTGAGTATCTTGTAGAAAGTCTTGTCTAAAGAAGTGTTTTGTTCCTGTCATGGTTATTTACCGTCTGAGTATTTATCTTTGTCAAGTCGATCCTGTCTTGTTTTGCCCCATCGTGGGTTTTGTTTTCTGTTTTTGTCTTTAATAAACCGTTGTTTAAGTTATTTGCTGTCTGCAATTGGGTTCATCTGCTATCCACATAACATAAGTAGCATCTCACAGACATTTAACCACTGTTCTCTGAAAAGTTTTTTTTTTTTTTTTTTCTGTTTCTCAATATTTGTTAAAGCTAATGTCTGTACTTAAACTGCCAGAGGTCTAAAGAACTATGTGTTCATTAATTTAGTAATTTCAAGCCTTTAATTGATTCTAAATTGAATTAAAATGGGTCTTGAGGGGTTTGGGAGAATAGTCTGGTTATTAATCCTGTTGAAAATGCTTGACTTTTTTTTTTTTTGTCAATGCTTGACTCGAGTATTTGCTTAGTTGCATCCGGGTCATCACAGTAATGTGCTAAAATAGCATCTATGCTGTTTTTTTTTTTAAAACTAACATGTTTAATTGTTTAATGCCTGTTAGAAATTCTGGTCTAAAAGTATGAGTCATGTGTGGCAATTTGTTCTTGTTATGTATCTAAGAATATCACCCTTGAATCATTTCTAGAAAGTTCAAAGCTTGTGTCGCCACATGCCCTGTGGAACTTCTCACCCAAACCCACAAAGAATCTGCTCTTGGGATGCGTAGAATGACTCTTCCATATGATCTAATGGACATGCATTTAAATTAATTATCCAAGTGTCTGATTGCAACATCATAAATTTGCAATGCATTAGCATGGGCACATTCACTTAAAAGTCACTTACTTTTAAATGCTACAAACCAAGAGCTTTGAGCTGTCTGGATCATGTAACACACACCGCCCCACGTTTGTCACTAAGCATTTGTCTGATATGCCCTGTGAGCTTTTCCAGCCCTGGAAGAGCGCGAGAGTGTTTCCCCGAACTCCCCCCGGCCCTTAAACTGTATTCCAGACACCAGGTCTGAAAATGTTTTGTCAAGTGTGAACAGCAAGTGATGCCTTGCAGCTACCATGCTTTTCCATGCCAGACTTTTCATTTTCATCTGCTAATGCATCTCCCATCAAAGCTGCGCTTATTTTATAGATTAGTATAAGACTCTTGCCACATACAGGGTGCTGTTTCTTTTTCTCTCATTGTGTTAGATCGACAAATCCAATGTAGTGCATGGAGTTGTGTGGTTGATTCTGCTTTGGCTTCGTTTGTAAATGAAAAGTATGAAAAGTTGCTTTTGTTATTTTGTCTTTATTACTATGTTCTATTTCTATGTTATTCAGTTAGCTATGCTTAAACATATTTTTTAGAGAGGACCTATTGTGCTTTTTTACATTTTCAAATGTATTGTTGCTGTTTGTGCATGAAAAAGCTCTGCAAAGTCACATAGTCCCTCCAGCAGGAGTTCTTCTCTATATCCGTGTCACTGTTTCTGAACTCCCTGAAACGTCTTGTCTTGAGTTTTATTCTGCAAACGAACACATCACAATATTCCTCATTAAAATAAGTGTGTTGAAACTTGTGGTTATGGCAAGGGGCCCTCGCTTAAAAACACACTTAAAGCAGTTGACCAATCACAACACACTGATTCAGCCGACCAATCAGATCACATTGTACTTTTTGGAAGGAGAAGCTTCATAGAGGAAATACGTACACATTTAAATGAACAATTATCTTTGTGTTGACTACATTCATCAAGCTTATCCATAATTATTGTAAAAAAAAAAAAAACCTTCATTTTAAGGTGATACTAAAGTAATAATGGTAAACTATGCATAATTACAATACCAAACCCTAACCGTAACTCTATAGTAAGTGTATGTATAATTAGTTATTATTACTCAGTTCTAATTTGAGTAAGAACAATGTAACTACGTCACCTTAAAATAAAGTGTATGTATTTCTAGAATGACACAGATCAGGGTTTTAAACTGTATTTAGTGTAGTCTGCAAAGCTCAAATAGTCATACATTGCCAAAGTCATAAAATAGATAAACCTGCTTTCACCGTTCACTTATTGAGAGAGAAAACAATCTTTTCAGTCTACTCGTCTTCTTTGCCACCCTCTGAAGTTAATCCATGTGCAATTGGTCCATTATTTTGTAAGATGCTGAAAATTTATTTGTTTATCATATATTAAGTGCCAAAGAGTCATTTGCCTGACTCTGCAACTATTAAAGAACAAAGAAAACCGTGAGCATTTGGAACAACATGGGGGGGAAAAAATGATGAAAAATCCTTTTTTTTTCGACCTCCAAACTGTTTTTTTCTCTGTGTTTACTACTACTTATTCTACGCATAAACATCAACATTATTGAGCCGTGTACAGTATGTCAGCATGGGAGGCTTGGAGATTTCAATCTATACAGTATCTCTGCCACCTTCTCTGGATTCGATTTGTCCCATGTAACGAATGTACTAGTTTACAACAACACAATAGAAGATATACAATAGCAGGTTGGAAAAAAACATTGCCTGGTTTGATGAGTCTTGATTTCTGCTGCAACATTCAGATAGTAGGGTCGGAGTTTGGTGTAAACAACACTAAAGCATGGATCCATCCTGTCTTGTATCAGTGGTTCAGGCTGCTGATGCTGTAAAGGTGTGTTGGATATTTTCTTGGCACACTTTGGTCCTCCTAAATTGAGCATCATTTAAACGCCACAGCCGACCTGAGTATTGTTGCTGACCATATCAATCCCTTTATGACCACAGTGTTCCCATCTTCTAATGGCTTCTTCCAGCAGGATAATGTCCATGTCACAAAGCTCAAATTATCAGCCGACAAATCTGCAGCAACTGTGTGATGCTATCATGTCAATATGGAGCAAAATCTCGGAGGAATGTTTCCAGCACCTTGTTGAATCTCTGCCATGAAGAATTAAGGCAGTTCTGAAGGCAAAGGGGGTTCAACTCGGTACTAGCAAGGTGAACCTAAAAAAGTGACAATGTGACTATGTTGTATAAATTTACAGAGAAATTCAAGGCATCTCAAAAAAAGTATTTCAGTGTAAAGTGGATAACTTTTTTCTGTTACTTCAGGTTTACTTCATCCAAGCATTCCAGTTAACTGAGTCAGTCCAAACAGACAATTACTGGTTATAAAACTTACTATACAAATGTTTCTTCTATCAAGCTACCATTAGGGTAGAGGCACATTAAACCAAGAACTCATTTGAGGATGCAAAAAAATAGCGGTGAAGCCAAATAAAAGGGTGAAAGTACTAAATATTACTGCTGAAATGTGCAAAAGTGACCCAGCTTAAGTTGATTGGCTTCCGTTGTTATTTTCAATGTAATTCAGAGAGCTGCATGGAAGAGGTCATCATGTCACACCCATTCCTAAATGACACATGAAAACAAAAAGCCACATTAGGCTGTGTATTGCAGTGATTCTACAATAAAAAGAGCATCGTTAGGCACTACACATAACACAGCCTCTAGAGGCTTATTGTTTTATAAAGCAATGGCAACAGCAATATGATTAAAAGACAATCTCATGAAACCTGTCCATATCATATATATTTCTAGCTAAATAAATTTATAATAATAATAATACATTTTAAGCACCACATTTAAAAAAAAAAATTGTGACATTATTTTCATGGCAATTAAATATCACTTTAATAAGAAGGAAAACAATATTAATCAGATTCTAATGAGAATTACTATTAATAATAGTAAAGTAATAAAGAAAATAAAGAATATGCAAAAATAAAATACATATATATATATATATATATATATATATGTAATAAATTAATATTTTGCATTTTTTATAATAATTTAGGTAGAAAATGTGTAAAAAAATGATGCAAAGCATTATACTATCTATATATATATATATATATATATATATATATATATATATAAATTGGTTTTCCTTTTCCATTTTGAAGAACAATGTTAGCATGTTTGAATCTAGATGTTAGATTCAAACAAATACATATATTTTTAAACAACAATTAAATACATTCCTAATTTTATTAACTTTAATAATCAAAATAAACAATGATATACTGTAGTTTTATGCATTTGGTGTGTTACTATTGAATTCGGTTGATGTGCGGCTCATCCAATCAGATTTAAAAACCTCAACCATACATTATATTATATCTAATTGTGTAGCCTTTTAAAAATGGCACTGCAGTACAGTATATGCCAGAAAGTCTTTTTATATAGTTTCTCCTTTTTTTCGCCGCTCCACTGGCATATAGCCAGGCTCCATTTTATTGTAAGTCACATAACAAATGAGACCACTGCATTTTTAAATCTTTTTTTTTGCAGATTGCACCTCTAATGGTGGTTTTAAATGGTTCCAGTTCTCGGAGCGAGCTCTTACTCCCTGCCATGGGAGTGACACCATAAAGTGCAGGAGCTACACTGAGAGCAAAGGTATATATATATATATATATATATATATATATATGAGAGCATATAGGCGAGATATATAAACCTGTATTATATGGTTGTCAAATGATTATGATCCCTGCATTGCGCACTGCATGCATGCATACTACACAGGAGAGCTCCATTAATCATGCGATGGCAGGGAATGAGAACAGATGTTAGAAAACGACCAGTGATGGCGAATGCTTCTAATCGTTAGGAAAAGCAAAAAGCAAGGGTTGTTCTGCTGGCTTTATTTAATGTCAAACATAACCTTATCTTACTTCATGCTCCTGCATGTTCTTGTTGTGCATGTTGTTGTTTTTTTGTTTGTTTTTAATATTACTAAAATGTATTTATTTATTTATTTTTAAATAAAGTCGGTAACACTTTACAATAAGGTCCCGTTCGTTAGTGTTATTTAATACATTGACTAAAATGTACTTAAAATGAACAATCCGTTTGTTAAGTTCTGTTCATTGCCAGTTCATGTCAGCTTGGGTCCATTGAATAACGTTAACAGATGCAGCTTTTGATTTAAATAATGTATTAGTAAATGTTGAAATTAACAGTAACAAAGATTAATAAATGCTTTAGAATTGATATTCACTGTTCAAGTAGTTAATTAATGTAAACAAATGGAACCGTATTGTAAATTAAATGTCACTTTTGATCCATTTAATGCATCCTTGATGAATACAACTATTAAAAAAAAAATACTGAACGGCATACAGAATAGCACATATTTGTGCTCTTTATCAGCTTTCTGGCTGGCCAGACCATTCAAAATCTCTATGTATTGTAAGGTCCACCCATTGGCCCAACACCGGAATCCAATGGTATGGTCGAAGGGATAATGCGTGTATGTCTTTTCAGCGCTCCAGTGAAGTTCACTTAATTTATTGGAATTTAGTTAAAATAATACTTTAGCTACGCTTAATCTGACTCCAATTTCAAATGTTAATCAAATTTAGATTGTGTTTCTTATTAGAAAACAGTCATAAATACTGATTATGAGTTAAGTTAGATCTTTGATTATTCTAGCCATTTCATAATTTCAAATATTCGTTCATTAAGGACCAGGGGCCTCATTTATAAAACTCTGCGTAGGATTTGCGTCAGAAGTGGCGTACGGATGAAACATAGGACGTGCGTACGCACAGAAATATTCGGAGTTATAAAACCGTGCGCACGCACATCCTACGCAGTTTTCCCTTAATAAATCACAATCAATTCTAAATGTAGCGCAGCTTTTGCGGCTTCATGTCACGCCCATAGTTGCCCATAAATAGTCCGTGAAACGCCCATAGTTGCCCATAAATAGTCCGTGAAACGCCCACAATTTAATATTCATCGATTGTGAAATCATGGCAAATACAGAGAGAGAAACCAAGAAACGTAACTTCACGTATTATTATCGTTGGCGAGGTGGATAAGAGGAGTAAAATGTTGTTTGGAGGGCACAGTGTGGGCATTACTAGTAGCCTAATGCCAAAAAGGCACTTGAGTGGCAAAAGGTTGCAGACGCCGTTAATGCTGCAGCCTCACAACCTCGGACCGTGGCAGAAAGAAATGGTCGGACATCAAAGTCGATGCAAAAAAGCGTCTAGCTCTCCATTACGTATTGTGATGGCATCATGGCATTTTATTACCATCCATTTGATTGCATCTGACAGGCTACATATGTGTTATGAGGATGAATTGCATAACATGCCAATATTATTGCAGAATATATTTCACTTTTCTTTTTTGCAAATATGTGTTAATTTGCATTTCTGTTGTAATCTTCGTTTGATTTTGTTTGTTTTACACTGCAGATCGATCAAACGGGTGTTCGTGTAGGCTGTTAATTGTAAGACTTGCTTTGTGAAGTCTTCGTGTTATTTATGAGAGGCAGTATTGCCATTTCTTTTACACAACGGTCTACACTTTCACGTGTTTTTTTCCATCTGCCGACGGTGTCGCCATTTCTCATTTCACCCGTTTTTGTGCGTACGCCTGGGTCAGAGCTTGCGTGAAGGACCGCACATTTTACCGTCAAGTTTGCTTTTTATAAATACCAATTATTGCGTAGAGAGCGGCGTACGCCTTTTTTTGTGCGTACGCAACGTTTATAAATGAGGCCCCTGGTGTCGCTTTGAGACGTCACGTCGCGAGTGTGCACTCACGATCACAAACTAGCCAGTCCTAAAATAGTCAGAGGGTGCAGTGCAAACTATCTTACCCTACGCGGCCGCTCACTGCTGACTCATAAGTGTAATTTTTCTCAATAGTTGCAGCGTACAACATGCTAAGTTAGGAGATAGTCAGGAATCAGAAGGTCTAATGATGTGCCCCATGCTCCATTCATTAGTGCCTTAGGTGTGATCTATCCTGGACAGAGATTTGCGGGAACAACAGACTACACATAATCTACTAGAAATAATGATTCCAGAAAACTTCAGAATAATCAAGGTTAACATTTATTTTTGTCAGGAAAAATGTACCGTGCCAATTTCACAAGTAAATGATTAAAAGCCAATTCAGAAATAATAAATGCGTGACATCAATTACTCAAAGATGATTCTAAAAGTAAGCAATGCATTCCTGACAGAGACACAGATTCGTGTGTGAGAGCTTTCCAAGGGGATAACACTGACACATTACTCCATGGGTTTTTTTTTCTGGTTACAGTTCCCCAAGATTGCTCTGTTACCTAGCCTTAAATACCCAGACCAGAAAAAGGGTTGTACCAATATTTTTCCAGTGTGTTTTGGGTCAGTTCCTGTACCCCAGGGGGTAGCACCTGGTCTCGGGGGAGAGGGGAGATGTCTTGAAGAAACATCACCCAAAGAGGAACACAGGATTCTCCTAAGTCCTCAATCTTTCTTATATTACCAATGACTGCAATGAAATTAAGACCATTTTACCAATCGCACCGAGACACTTAAAATGATACCAAACACGAAAAGGAAAAACAATAGATTCCCAAGATACATCATATATGATATATAAGCATTCTTAGTGAACTTTTGGTGACTTGACTCAGGGGGAGAGGGAGAGGGGGATGCAGAGATAAGATAGGAGAATTGTTTGGACAAGACAATGTCCTGTGCTTTATGGCGAGTTTTATCTTTTGTCTTTAGCAGGAAAATCAGTTCTTACAGTATAAATCACATGGTAAGAATGTGAAATTATGCTAAATATTTAGTCTTAATTGGCCACTTAAAATGTGCCACCGCACATCACTTCTTTCTATCTGCCACAGGTTCCTGGAGATTTGAACGCCACTGCAAGCCTAAAATAACCCCGCAAGTTCAACCAATCAAAGGAGAATCCATTAAGAGGCACAAATTCCCAGTTGCCGCTTATAAATGTAACTGCGTCCAAAAACTGCCGCCTCTATCTCAGGATGGCAAGGGTTGAGCTGGTGCTGTGGGATTGTGAACACCAGTCAATCAAGGTCATGTGGACCCCGATGGCTTCTCCCCACGGCAACAGTAATCAATTGCCCTATGGACCTTTGTAAAATGCAGCAAAAAGGGAGCAATAACTCTACTGGCACCAAAGAAACAGAAAATAATGTTATGCGTATTGGCTTTGCTCCACTCGGGTACATTTCATCAGGAAAAAGAGAAGGACTTGAAAAGCTAAATCAATAGTTAATTATATCGGGCATAAACATAAATACAGTTGTGCTAATGCCTTGGTGAGAATTGCTAAGTATTGGTCTTGGTGGGTTTTAAGAGACCCATTTCATCTTATGTAGCCGATAGTCTATTAAATGGACATGGTGTATTTGTATCCAAATAATGTTCTTACGTACAAAAAAGAAAAAGAAAAAAAGAAAGTAAGCTAAGAAATAAATAATCTAAATGTAGTTTAGCCCGAAGCAACTGACCAGCGAAGTGTTGCATGGGCAAGTTTGGATTGTAAGCCATTAGTGGAACAAATGGAAAGCATTTATCAACCTACCCATGTTTACGATCGGTAAAAACATGCCCTAATGAGGAATACAAGATTATAATTCAAAAAAGCATGAAGAGAAGCATGAATACAGGCCTAAGATCAATTTCTACGCCCCTGTTCTTATAGGCCTAGATTTGATGTACTTGTTTACTCAGCCTCATGTCGGTTTGGAATATTTTCTGATGACAGACCTGTCCTGCCTCAATTGATCAATTCAAAACAATGGTTAATTCAAAAATTGGCCATCACTACTTCTTTCGTAAAATATAGTCATATGGAACAGTTTTCTGCTTTTACTACATTTAGTATCGTTTAAAAGTTTTTAAAATGAATTAATACCTACACTAACCTAAAGGATTATTAGTAACACCATACTAATACTGTGTTTGACCCCCTTTCGCCTTCAGAACTGCCTTAATTCTACGTGGCATTGATTCAACAAGGTGCTGAAAGCATTCTTTAGAAATGTTGGCCCATATTGATAGGATAGCATCTTGCAGTTGATGGAGATTTGTGGGATGCACATCCAGGCCACGAAGCTCCCGTTCCACCACATCCCAAAGATGCTCTATTGGGTTGAGATTTGGTGACTGTGGGGGCCATTTTAGTGCAGTGAACTCATTGTCATGTTCAAGAAACCAATTTGAGATGATTCAAGCTTTGTGACATGGTGCATTATCCTGCTGGAAGTAGCCATCAGAGGATGGGTACATGGTGGCCATAAAGGGATGGACATGGTCAGAAACAATGCTCAGGTAGGCCGTGGCATTTAAACGATGCCCAATTGGCACTAAGGGGCCTAAAGTGTGCCAAGAAAACATCCCCCACACCATTACACCACCACCAGCAGCCTGCACAGAGGTAACAAGGCATGATGGATCCATGTTCTCATTCGGTTCACGCCAAATTCTGACTCTATCATCTGAATGTCTCAACAGAAATTGAGACTCATCAGACCAGGCAACATTTTTCCAGTCTTCAACTGTCCAATTTTGGTGAGCTCTTGCAAATTGTAGCCTCTTTTTCCTATTTGTAGTGGAGATGAGTGGTACCCGGTGGGGTCTTCTGCTGTTGCAGCCCATCAAGGTTGTGCGTGTTGTGGCTTCACAAATGCTTTGCTGCATACCTCGGTTGTAACGAGTGGTTATTTCAGTCAAAGTTGCTCTTCTATCAGCTTGAATCAGTCGGCCCATTCTCCTCTGACCTCTAGCATCAACAAGGCATTTTCGCCCACAGGACTGCAGCATACCGGATGTTTTTCACTTTTCACACCATTCTTTGTAAACCCTAAAAATGGTTGTGCGTGAAAATCCCAGTAACTGAGCAGATTGTGAAATACTCAGACCGGAGTTTGGAGTTCAGGAGATTGTCTTGACCTTGATTGTCTCACACCCCTAAATGCATTGAAGCAACTGCCATGTGATTTGGTTGATTAGATAATTGCATTAATGAGAAATTTAACAGGTGTTCCTAATAATCCTTTAGGTGAGTGCATATTCAACAAGGACACATTCAATTGATCAAAAATGACAGTAAAAGCATTTATAATTCCACTTGCATTATTAACTTATTAAGCATCACAACTGTTTTTAACATTGGTAATAATCAGAAATATTTCTTGAGCATCAAATCATCATATTATAATGATTTTCTGAAGGATCATGTGACACTGAAGACTGGAGTAATGTTGCTGAAAATACAGCTTTGATCACAGGAATAAATTACATTTAAACAGTATTTTAAATTGTAATATTTCACAATATTGCTGTTTTATTAGGGTTTTTTTTGATGAACATAAGAGAGTTTTTTTTTAAACATAACAAAAAAATTATAAGTGTGTTCTAAAGAGTGGCCAGGGTATTCTTCAAAAACTCTGTTACAATACCGTACACAATTTATTTGAAGTTTATTAGCATGTTCCACATCCTCAAGCGAGGCCTTTGAGCATGTGCGTGTTTTCCACCAACATCTTTGCAGAGAACCCAAATGTGCAGAGCAGATTCCCATCAAGTGAGAGTTCAGAGGCCTGGGCTGATCAGTGTGATTCAGCAGCTGACACCCACAGAGCCGAACCCAGCGAGAAGCTGTAAGATCAACTCATCAAGCACCTGTTCGCATGTCTCATCACAGATTCCCCGTGTTCCCCCAGCCTGCTTTACTGCCAGTTAATGTGCAGCGGAAGAACAGCAGATTCATCATGCATGAGTTCGTGATATTTCATTGACTTTCTGATGAAGAGAACTGCGTAATTCTTATGTGACGCTCGCTGTTGACAAACAAGCTGTTTACATAAACATGCATGAATTTAAGTGGGTCTCATATCAGTGCATTGACTTGTATCCACCTAGTTTCATGTTGCCAGTTCACATTGCACAATATTTCTAGCCTAGAACTGATTTGAGACGATTTAGACAGAAAGAGATCATCTGACCCGAACCATCTGCTCTTTTGTGTAATTTTGAACCTTCAGAGCAAAACAGTCCACTTTAGACATTTTGTTGACTATAAGCAACATTGCACCTACATGTCAACTAACTCTCAGTAGAGTATTCAGGACTCTCAAGTTTTAAAGACAGGCAAGAGTGACATCCCTTGCCATTTCAGTGTGAAAAATGCATCAGATGCTCAGTCAGTGAGATAATTCTTTATCTCACCCATCACCCAAACCGACCTTTAGACTTCCGACTACATTTTTACTCTTTTAAGTCAAACCCTCCAAACTTTGTCGACCATTCCTGCTTTAATGACAGAGTTTGGGTCAATCAAAGCAGTGATATCGCTATTGTTCATCCCGTATACATAAACATGAGACTGTAGTGGGAGGGGCTTGTCAAGAGATAGTGTTCTCACTTCAATTGCACCTCCTTAATTTACACCCACTGCCTTTACAACCATCTGCCTCCTGAACCAGGGTTCACAACTCCCGTCAGCTATCGAGCCGGTTACGAATGAAGACCTCCTACTGATTCTCTCCCACCAGCAAAGGAAAAGAAAGGTGACTTTATGGCCAAGAATAACTTTACTTGAAGCCTGTATAGCCCATAAACTACATTAAATAGCAGATAAATATACATTCGAATTTTATATGGGAATAAATTTAATTAAATTCAACCTTCATTTTATTTTTATTATTTCATTAATTTACAATGCAATGTAGTGCAGATGTTGAACTTGCCAGAACTTTGTGCAAAGCAGAGCTTGAAGAAGTCCACAAAACCGACTATATTATACGAAAGGGACATATAAATGTCTCTGATTTACAATGTAATATTCCAGCATGAAAGTGCCCTTGGTTTCTTTCTCCGTGACTCTCCATTCTTTTCAAATCACTGCCCTTTTCGAGTAATTCAGTATGAATGCAATTATAGTATGCCCTCCCCATTCAATTTAAACAAAACGTGCATATATTTAGAGCTAAAACATTTGATAGGAAAAAGCTTCCGAGTTGCTATGTGAGGCTTATGTAACTCACTGATATATTAATAGTGAGAAAGCTTCCTAAATAATACTGCTGATAGAACGTACTACAAATAGAATGTGTATGTGAGACGACGCATTAATATTCCATATCTGAGAGGAAAATGTCTCAATGTACGTTTGTTCTTTGGCTATTTCCCATGCTGCCTGTAATGTTTACCAGTGAATCACAGAGCATTGTAGCCCACCTCCACCTCCTCTGAAGAAGGATTTACACTTCAAACAATGTGCCTCTCTGCAGGTAGCGTGACGAAGAGTATTATTTTTATCATACTCTGAGCAAATGCATGTTAAAAGGTGAGAAGCTCTACACTCCCCCGGACACTGAGAGGACGACCTGAATGTGTTTTCTCACAGGAGGACACAGGCCCATGACTCATTTATATTCACTTGTGCATGTGTGTGTCTATTGGTTATGGTGTTGGATTGGTGGCAGTGGCAGAACTTGAGGTTTATACATTTCTGTCAGGACCACTATCGTCAAATACGATTGACAATTGCATACAGTTTGGATTGATGGTTCCGTTCTGGGCGAGAACTCCCTGTGCATCCATGCAGCCTAGCATGGATAAGAGCAGAGAGAGCAGCAATAACCCCCCTTAGGGTAAACAGAACAGAACCAACATGAATGTATTGCAGATATCATTAATTCAAGATTTTAAAGTACAACATAATTCGAGAATTTTTTCTGATTCAAGGGGAATCAGAATGCCAAATCCTGACTGGCAAGAGGAGGAGCTGGGGATGGAGGAGGGTAATTCACTCCTGAGAAACAAGAGGAGCTGGGGGTGGAGGAGGGTAATTCACTCCTGAGAAACAAGAGGAGCTGGGGATGGAGGAGGGTAATTCACTCCTGAGAAACAAGAAGAGCTGGGGAGGGAGGAGGGTAATTCGCTCCTGAGAAACAAGAGGAGCTGGGGATGGAGGAGGGTAATTCACTCCTGAGAAACAAGAGGAGCTGGGGATGGAGGAGGGTAATTCACTCCTGAGAAACAAGAGTTTAGTTTAGTTTAGTTCCTTTATTGTCCACAAGTGGAAATTTGTCTTTGGCTTCACTATGCACCACACACAAGGACATCACAAACATAAAAATATACATACAATAAAAACAGTAACATTCCCATGCAGCTATACATAGCTTACATATCCACCCCTACTCATATTCATATCTTCTCAGCATTTAAAATTCGAATAGCAGTTGGCACAAATGACATCTAGTACACATTTTTACTCGCCCTAGGTTGTCTAAACCTTTTCCTCGATGGAAGCAGCTGAAAGCTAGAGTGTAAGGGATGAGAGGAATCCTCTATAATAACCCATGCATTTTCTTTAACTTTCAATAAATATATCTCATTCAATTGTCTCTGTGTCTTACCTACGATTGC